TGCCGTGTGTTTTGGTAACATGGGGACTGTGCCTTTTCACTTGTCAACCTTGGGCTTATCAGTCTCAGCAGCCAGTAGCTGTCTGAATGAAGAAAAGTCTCTAGCTCCAGTGGGCTGGGAGCAGGAGGTAGAGCTGAAGCCCAAGGCTGAGGGGCTTTCAACCAGCCCCTAGAGCCTGGCACTTGGAACTCAGATTTAAAGCCTCCAAATTGTAAGAATAAACTCCTGTTTGTTAAGGCCATTCAAGGCATTTGACTGCTAACCAGAAGGCTGGTAATTCAAACCCGCCAGCCACTCCTCAGAAGGAAGGTTGGGCAATCTACTTCTGTAGTGACCCACCTTGGAAACCCAAGGAGGGGTCGCTATGAGTCAGGTCCAACTTGACAGCACATAACAACACCAACATTTATGGTATATTCCTGTCAGAGCAGTGCTAGGTAACCAGGACAGTGATCTATTCTAGACATTGATCCATGTACATTGGAAAGAATATATACTTAGTTTCTCTTGGGTGGAGTGTTCGTATATGTCTATGAGGTTCAGTTGACTGATTTTGGCATTTGGACTTCTGTATCTTTGCTGACTTACTTTATAATTGTTCCATCCTTCACCAAAAAATGATGTATTTAACTCTCCTACTATTCTTGTAGAACATCTACTTCCCTTTTCAATGCAGTTAGTGTTGGTTTCATGCATTTTGGAGTCCTGCAATTGTTGTGTATATATTTATTATGGTCATGTCTTCTTTGTGGATTGACCCTTTAATCATCATGTCATGTCATTCCTTATCTTTTATGGTGCGTTTTTGTCTTAAAGTCTATTTTATCAGAGATTAGTATGACTACTATTTTTTTGTTGTTATTGTTTGCTTGATAGATTTTTTTTCCCAACCTTTAGTTTATTTATGGTTTTGTGTCTAAGGTATGTGTCTTATAGACAGAACATTGATGGGTCATTTTTTTTTTTTTAATCCATTCTCTCACTCTCTGTCTCTTTACTGGTCATTTAAACCATTTATATTCAGCATGATTGTTGATATGTATAAATTTACTGCTGTTATTTTGATGTGCTTTCTTTCTTTTTATTTTTGTGATGTTGACAGTTTCTTTGTCCTGCTTAATTTATTGTGCTGACTTCTTTCTGTTTGTGGATTTTCTTTTGTTTATTTCATTGTTGATTTTGTGTTTACTCAGTCTTTATGTTTTTCTTCTTTTTTATTTTGAAGTTTGTTAACCTTCTTTGCGGTTACCTTGGAATTTACCTTTACCTTCCTATGTTTAAAGGAGTCTTTTATTTCTTGATATTACCCTTACTTCTTCTCCATATCAAGTTCTGTAACTACACCATTCATTCTTCCCTTTCATTTTGATGTTGTCATCATTTACAGATTGGCATCCCTATTTCCCTGTTTTCAGTTTTTCATTTAATTTTTGAGAATTTTTTATCTGAGTTGGTATCTGGCTAATGCTGTTCTGTGTCCCATTCTCAGTTTGTTTTCTGATGTACTTGGTTTTCTATCCCTTTAATATTTTTTGTAAGGTTGGTCTGGTTTTTAAAAATTCCCTTAGTCTCTGTTTATCTAGAAATGTCTTACTTTTGGCATCATATTTCAGAGACAATTTTGCTGGATATATAATTCTTGGTTGGCTATTTTTTTCTTTCAAGGGTTTATATATGTCATCACATTGTCTTCATCCTGCGTGATTTCTGCTGAGTAATCAGAGCTAAATCTTATTGGTTGACTTTTTGTTTTTCCCAAGCTGCTCTCAGGACTCTTTCTTTACCTTTGGTATTGACATGTTTTGATTATGATATGTCTTGGTGACTTTCTTTTGGGTATCCTGTATGGGGTTTGTTGAATTTTTGGATAGATATCTTCTTGCCTTTTATGGTATTAGGGAAGTTTTCTTCCAGCAAATCTACAATTCAGCAAATCTACAATTCTCTCTGTATTTTTTTTTTTTCTCCTCTTCTTCTGGAATTCAGATGACATATAAATTTTTCCTCTTGATATTGCCACATAATTCTTAGGCTTTCTTTATTTTTCTTCATTCTAATCACCTATTTATTTTATTTTGTTCTTGTGTTGTCTTCCTGAATTTTTCCATTGCTTTGTTTGTGTTTTCGTTTATTTGGTCTGTATTTTCCTTGGTTTTGTCTGCATTTTCCTTAATCTCTGGGAGAATTCTGTATAGTAGGTCTTTTTAATTCCTTATCAGGTAGTTTCATTACCTTTTCTTCCTCTGGAAGGTTTTCTCATTCTTATTTTGGTCACTTGCTGTAGCTATCTAGTTCTGCTTTTTTTTGTTGTTGTTGTTGTTGTTATTTGATATTGTCTGTTGTTTCTGAGGCATTAAGATGTTATTATGTTTATTTACTTATTGTATGTTTGTTTGCTGCATCTTGATTTTCTGTTTTGATATATCTGAGTAGGCAGGGGTGTGCGTGCTACTCTGCTTGCTTGTCTGGACAGACACAATTAAGTTCTCTCACTTGTCTCTGAGAGGGTAAGGCAGAGGTTGGATGAGAGAGTACAGGTCTGTACTCTGTTCCCTGATCTTGAGGGTGCCTGAAGATGTAGCTGGTGAGGTGATGTGTCTATTCAGCCTGTCATCTGGCCATGGGTGCAGGGAGTGTTGTTACTGGTCACTGAGTTGGATGTTGCAGGTGTGCACTGCTAGTTGGTGGGTGGTCGGGGCAAGGTGTCTTTGTCGTCACTCACTGGGTGGGTGGTATGGAAACTCTCCCCAACAGTCCTAGGCAGGCAGGGCTGCGTGGGGGTGGTCAAAGTGAGCACAGGTCTCTGACTGCAGTGGAAGAGGCAGTACAGGGCAAGTCCATGGGTGCTTGCTAGGATGGCATGGTCCGGCTCACTAGAGTGCAATGTAGGACAGGGTGTGTCATTGATCCTCGGGCCCCCAGCATAGGTGGCTGGAGGTAGTATGAGGTGCTACTGCTCTGTGGGTCCCTGGTAAGGGTGGTACAGCACAAGAGCAGATGCCTCTGGTTTGTGGGCTCCTAGTACCAGTGGCTAGGTGGAGCATTAGTTTTCACTGATCCATGGGCCCTCAGTGCAGGCAGCTAGGCATAGGAATGGGCACTACCATTCTGCAGACCCCAGCATTGGTGGCCAGGCAGAGAGGCAGGTGTGGCAGGTGTCACCGATCTGAGGAACTCTGGCATGAGTGCTTGAGTGAAGGGGCGGGCACCACTGGTCTTTGGCCCCTGGCTCAGGGAGTGGGGCAGTAGAGGGTGCCACCAGATGGTGACCGTATCCAGTGGGGGGAATGCATGAAAGGAATGAGAAGGCAGCACAGGACCATAGGCCTCTGGCATGGGGGCTTAGGGGTGCATGGTGGGTGAGGTGAGTGTACTTAACTTTTGCAGGGCGGGGAGCACTGCTGCATGGCTCTGGACATGGGTACAGAGCCGCTTCTGCTTGGCTGCACCAAGTGACGGGAGCTTTGGCTGGGAACTCTGCTTGCTTTGTCTCAATAAGACCACACCGTGCAGTTGCAGCTGGCAGGGCACCGGTGATTCATAATTCTCTGTGTCCACTTTTTTTGTATAATTTCTCTTTCCACTTGACACTCAGTCTGATTCTTCATTCTTACCTCAGGGCTCCAAAGTTGTTTGTCATCTATATCCAATAGATGTCTTCTCTGGTCTTTTTTGTAAGACGGATGCTGTGAGACATCTGACGATGCCACCATCTTCAACCACTCTATACTATGAGGTCTTTTTTAGAAATGTTTTGCATTCTCTTGACCTGGCACAATATGTGGAATATTCCCTAGAAATGAATATAGTCAACCTTCTTTCAATCAAGAAAATATCCAAGGCTTTTTCTCAGCTGCTTTCTAATATATTTTTTTGTTTGTTTGTTTAAATAAATGCAGCAAATTTTAATGTGTATATCAACAATGTGTGTTGAAATTTCATTGATATTCAATGGACTTTAATGTTTTTATTCACTTGGAGATAAATGATAGGGCATCTGCAGATAAATGCCTCTGCAGAAAGAGATTAATTCCTGCACCAGGGTAATGTTATCTGAACAAAAAAAGTGGAATGTTTTAATGAGAACCTGTGGGTTGCAAGTAGTAAAATGTAACTATTTCTCTATGACTTTAAAAAGGGATGTGTTTTATGCATTATAGGAATTGCCTAAATGGTATCATTTATTTTCCTGGACTTGTGTTGTAGTAACTACTAATCTTTTGACCTGGGGTTAGCTTGTATTTATTTGAGGTGGTTTATATTGTTGCTGTCTAGTAGAACAAGGCTCAAATCCAATAACTTTACACATGCAAATCGCTGTATCCTTCAACAATTAAAATTGAGGTGAAGTAGGCTCCTGAAATACTCACCTCCAAAAATCTAAGGAATATAAAGACAGTAATGAATCTGCAGTCTTCTAAGAGCCATGCTGATTGAGCCTTTCTCTCTTAGGGATCTGAATTATATGTTACATCTAGATGACAAGCCTCATTTATGCTCTTTTCCCAGTAATTTAACATACCTTGAGCCAGACATGTTTAATTTAGTTTAGGGGCTGCCATAAAATAGCATGAATTCAAGCCATTATGTGACTTTTGTAGAATTATGCATATTAACCTAAATTACCCTTTATGATGGTTTCTAAGCCAACAGCATGAATTTATTTTTTGCCTATATATATATATTTTTTTTTCCAAAGAGAATTATTTATATAGTTAAATAAAGCAACTCATCTAGTTGCTTGGTTCTCCCTTTCTCCACTACATTCTGTTTCTTACTCTACCTCTACTTGCTTTACATCTTTTTCCCCCTTGATTAAACCTAATGCAGAGTGAAATTTTATTAAGTGTTTATTAAGGATGAAAACTACATACTTTTGCCAAAGAGTCAGCATGAAATGAAATGGTCCTAGACTCCAAAGTGAAAAAAAAAAAATTAACCTTGTTACTAATTTAGAAAAAAGACATTAATTGATTTGAAATATATTAAAATGTGCTTACCATGGATTTTGGTATCGGTGGGTGAACTGATCGATAGCAGCATGACTTAGTTCTCCATACTGTAAAAGAAAGAAAATGAATATACCATAATTCCAAGGTAAATGGAAACAACATGTCTAAGAATCTACATTCCTACTAAAAAGGGGATTCAGACTGAGGAATTAGAAAGTAAATGCTAAATTCAGTAAAATAAAATGGTCTTTTGAGTCCTGAACTGAGACAAGAGTACAAGAAATAAAATAAATGTGTCCGTATGTGCTTTAATTCACCACTCATCTGTCAGTTTTTGATACTGTGGTGGCTTGTGTGTTGCTATGAGGCTGGAGGCTCTGCCACCAGTATTTCAAATACAAACAGGGTCACCCATGGTGGACAGGTTACAGTGGCACTTCTAGACAAAGACAGACTGGGAAGAAAGATAGGGCCATGGCCATCCACTTTTGAAAAAAGTAGCCACTGAAAACTTTATGAATAGCCGTGAAACATTGTCTGATATAATGTCTGAAGATGAACTCCTCAGCTTGGAAGGCACTCAAAATACGACTGTGGAAAAGAGCTACCTCCCCAAAGTAGAGTCAACCTTAATGACATGGATGGAGTAAAAATTTCAGGACCTTCATTTGCTGATGAGGCATGACTCAGAATGGGGAGAAACAGCTGCAATTATTCATTAACAATCAGAACATAGAATGTATGAAGTATGAGTGTAGGAAAATTAGAAGTTGTCAAAAAGAAATGGAATGGATAAAGATCAATATCCCAAGCACTGGTGAGCTGAAATGGACTGTTCCTGGCCATTTTAAATCAGACAGTCATATGATCTATTATGCAAGAATGACAAATGCATTCATTTGGAATTCATTTGCATTCATTGTCAAAAAAACATCTCGAGATCTATCCTGAAGTATAACACTGTCAGTAATAGGATAATATTCATACACCTACAAGGAAGATCAATTAATACTAGTATTATTCAAATTTATGCACCAACAACTAAAGCCAAAGATGAAGAAAGTAAAGATTTTTACTGACTTCTGCAGTCTGAAATTGACCAAATATGCCATCAATATGTATTGATAATTATTGGTGATTGGAATATGAATGTTGGAAACAAAGAAGAATCATCAGTAGTTGGAAAATATGGCCTTGATGACAGAAATGATGCTTAATTTAACAAGACCAATAATTTATTCATTGCAAATACCTTTTATCAACAACATAAATGGTGGCTATACACATGGACCTCACCAAAAGGAATACACAAAAATCAGATCAACTACATCTGTGGAAAGGGTGATAGAGAAGCTCAATATCAGTCAAAACAAGGCCAGGAGCTGATTGTGGAACAGACTATCAATTGCTCATATGCAAGTTCAAGGTGAAGCTTAAAAAAATTAAAACAAGTTCACAAGAGCCAAAATAAAACCTTGATTATATCCCACTTTAATTTAGAGACCATTTGAAGAATAGATTTGACACATTGAACACCAATGACCAAAGCCAGAGGAGTTGTAGGATGACATCAAGAACATCATCCATGAAGAAAGCAAGCAGTCATTAAAAAGCACAAAAGGAAGAAAAGATCAAAATGGGTGTTAGAAGAGGCTCTAAAACTTGCTTTTGAACATAGAGTAGGTAAAGCAAATGGAAGAAATGCTGAAATAAAAGAGCCAACATAAGATTTCAAAGGGTGGCTTGAGAAGACAAAATAAAGTATTATGGTGAAATGTGCAGACCTGAGAGTTAGAAAACCAAAAGTGAAGAACATGCTTAGCATTTCTCAACCAAAAGAACTGAAGAAAAAATTCAAGCTCTGAATTGCAATATTGACTGGTTCTATGGGCAAAATATTGAATGATGCAGGAAGCATCAAAAAAAGATGGAAGGAATACATAGAGTCACTGTATCAAAAAGAATTGTTCAATGTCCAGGTATTTCAAGAGGTACCATATGATCAAGAACTAATGGTATTGAAGTGTAGGCTGTATCTCGAATCAGTCTCTTCTGAGAAATAAAAGAAATTAAATGCAAGCTGCCAAAGGGCAAGGAGTCAGCACCTTATGACCTCCTCTAAGTGCAGAAGAGGAGGACAGAAACACCATCAACAGCCCAAGGCCTGCTCTTATGAGGTCAGATATGCTGCCATCCTCCAGCCCTCATACCATCCTTGACACTAACCATTCCTCCTGTGGCACCCACCACCTCTCTGATGGATTCAATAATTTGCTGCAGTGGCCACACAGAACTCACAGATTATTAGAAAAGCAAGAGGCTACAATTCAACCTCAAGAACCAGCTCAGTCTCTCTCAGCTGGCCATCTCTCAGCCAACAGTCTCTCTCAGTAGCATGTCTCTTTCTCAGCAGTGTGTCTCTCTCATATCTCTCTTTCAGCAGCATGTCTTTCTCATGTCTCATGTCTCTCAGGACTGTGCGTTTCTCTCAGCAGTACATCTTTCTCAGCCAGCAGTCAGAAAGACTTTCTCTGCCTCTTGGTGGGCTCCTTTTTTAGCCTGGCAAAGTGGCCAGACTAACCAATCCCAACATCAGAATTCTATACATCTGAGAGAAAGCAAACTTCCCAGAAGATTGCTTTGTACTGCTTCAACAGAAATATACCAGATAGATAACTTTAACAATCAGCTACCCAGATGCTTACGGCAAAATGGGAGTTACCAAGATACAGCTAGAAAAGCTGTACCAGGTAATTTACTACACCACACAAGCTAATAAGCAGAGATGGAGAAAGAAAGATTCCAAGCCACATGAAGATTTCTCAGAAGCAGAAGTTCAAAGAGACAAGGACCTTCTGCCAGAGTTGACAGAGAGAAAGAAAGAGAGAGAGAAAGCCTTCCCCTAGAGCTGACACCCTGAATTTGGACTTCTATCCTTCTAAACCATGGGAAAATACATTTCTATTTGTTAGAGCCACCCAATTATGGTATTTCTGTTATAGATACAAATGTATGATGCCATAAAAATATTGTCTAGCATAAGCTGATCCTTATCTTTGTTAAAGGAGCTCTGGTGGTATAGTGGATAAGGCATCTGGCTGCTAACCAGAAGGTCAGAGGTTCAAATCCACAGCTTGTAAACCCAATGGGGGTTGCTATGAGTCAAAATTGACTCAGTGGCAGTGAGTTTGGTTTGGTATCTTTATTAATGAAATTTACCATAATTTATTTGGACACTCATGCTCAGTGTTGTGTTAAATCTAATGAAATTTAGAATTGAAAATATTATTTTTCTACAAATCAGTTGTTTATAAGACTAAGAAAAGACTAATTCAAAAAATAATTCAATATTTCCAGAAAAATAAGTAACAACTTATTAGCATATTCTCTATTCTAAGGGATTCAGTGAGAATCTTTCACACATTTTTCAACAAACAAAAATGATCATAACACCAGTTGCTGTTGTGTGCCATCAAGACTATTCCAACTCATAATGACCCTATATGACAGAGTAGAACAGTTCCATAGGATTTCCTAGGCTGTAATCTTTATGAAAACAGATTGCCAGAGCCACTGGTGGGTTCGGATTGTCAAGTACTCAGTTAGTAACTAAGTGCTTAACTGTTGCACCACCAAAGTGCCTCATTAAATAAGCCTAGGATTAAGAAAAGGGAAACACCGCTAATTACATTCAGATACTGTGAGAGAGAGAGAAAGAGAGAGAGAGAGAGAAAGGCATATGTGAATAAATGCATGTGCATGTATAGGTGTATCTCCTATACACCTATCCATGTGCATGTATAGGCAGATATATGCACATGCTTATATGTGCTTTATATATATTCACACATATAACAAAGCACATTGGTGGCACAGTTACGGAGTCTTCCTAGACATATCCAAAAAACTTGTGGGATTAGTTTACTAGGTTAGAAGGCTTGGGACCATAATTTTGAGGGACAACTTAGTCAATTGGCATAAAATAGTTCACAAAGATAATATTCTACATCCTTGATTAGTGAGTAGCATCTAGGGTCTTAAAAGCTCGTGAGCAGCCATCTAAAATACAATTATTTGTTTCTACTCATAAAGAGCAAAAGAAAATGAAGGTAATCAAAGTCTCAAAGAGGAAGCTAGTCCTTGAGACTAATTGCCCACAAACAACCTCTTCTAACCTGAGACCAGGAGAATTAGATAGCTGTTGTGGCGTAGTGCCTAAGGCATTTGACTGCTAACCAGAAAGCTAGTAGTTCAAACCCACCAGCCACTCCTTGGAAGGAATATCAGGCAATCTACTTCCATAGAGATACTGCCTTGGAAACCCCAGGAGGGGTTACTATGAGTCGAGACTCGATGGCAGTGAGTTTGGTTTTGGTTTCCTGGCTGCTACTACTGACTGTTCTGACCAGGGACACAATAGAAGGTCCAGGACAAAATAGGAGAAAAGTGTAGAACAAAACTCAAACTCCTAAAAAAAAAAAAAGCCAGACTCAATAGAGACTAGAGGAATCCACAAGGCTATCACTCTAAGATACGTTTGTAACCTGGAACTGAACCTACTCCCTCCCAGAGGCCATCTTTCAGCCAAGTAATAGATTGGCTTATAGGAGCTCTGGTAGCATAGTGGCTAAAGCACTTGACTGCTAACCAGAAGGCTGGCGGTTCAAACCCACCAGCTACTCCTCGGAAGGAAGGTTGGGCAATCCTACTTCCGTAGTGATACTGCCTCGGAAACCCAAGGAGGGGTCGCTATGAGTCGGGGTCGACTCGACGGCACATAACAACAACAACAACAACAATAAACTAAGCAATATCACCCATGAGTAATGAGCTTCTTTAAACAACTAATCTTACGAGACCAAATGGCCAACAGTTAGCCAGAAGCAGAGATGAGAGGAAGGGGAGCTAGATCAGTGGAAACAGAACAACCAGAAACAGAACATTTGAGAATGCTAATACATTGTAAAAATGGTAACCCATGATAAGGAACATATGTATAAAATTGTTAAAGGGGAATCTAATTTGCTGTGTAAACCTTTGCATAAAACACAATAAAATATTATTTAAAAAATGATCATTGAGATTTTTCACTTTTAATCTCAAACCA